TAATTCCTATGTTCTGTAGAAAAAATAAGAATTGTGGCAGACAATGTGGTGTAGGGTAGCCGGAAGATAATGTTCTTAATTGTTTTCCTTGCGGTTTGTGTACCTTCATTTGGCCATACAATTAATATTCGAGGGGGTTATTGCCGCGAATCTTCCTTCGAAACATCAAAATGAATACAAAGTCACAAAAGCTTTGTTTGCTTTTGACACTAGAGATTGAAGCATATTTTTAAGCGGAACCCCGGTATATATCCCCATAAATAAATCATTTATGATTGCAAAAACAAGCGTTTTCTCAACTCGAAGATTCTAATTTGGGAAGACTAGTCTTACGGAAACCTTGAAAATTCCTATAGAACATTATGTGAACCATATTCAAACTTTACTTCTTTCGGATAAGCAAATCGTAATAACAATAATAATAATAATAATGAGTTTTGCTTAGCAAGATTATTATTGTGAACATTTTATACGCGTATATACGCGTAAATATATATACAATCAATTCTTCCTTTAATTTTCTAGTTGAATTTTGTTTTTGTGCATTATTTGCAAGGCTTTTGCAAGCCATAGATTTCTCTGCTTGCTCTCTTGCTTATGCTATTAATTATTGGCGGATGTAAACTGAAACTGAAAGAGTTGCTTATCGTCTTTGAAAGGATTGTATAATTTTTCATTTAAATTTCTCTTTGTTACACCAATATGCAGCCCGTTTTTTTTTTCAAATGTTTAAAAGAATTAAAATGCTTAAAATAAGAAAGTGAAATCTACCAACAAAAGGTTCTTGAACTATGGTATTAGTAATAATTACATGTTAAATTTTTGCAGCACAAGTAGAAAGGATACGAACGTGCGATAGATTAAGTGCACTATAACCTGTCTAAGTTTGACTTCCGGAAGGAATTCACTCTTCCTGTACAGTATTTCCCATAAAATTTTGTTTAAGGAGAAAATTTATTAAACGCTTCCCCAAGCAGAAATTTTAAATTTTAAAAAATATTTATTATATGCGTGTAAAAGCCAAGTCGATTTCTTAATGCCAAATCGTTTAGACTACATGCAGTGAATTTCATTTTATAGCTTGGGTTATTTTTCTATTTCTTTACTAATTGATGGATGTCTTAAGAATTATTTAAAATGTGATTTTTACTACGATACTTATTTTCATAAATTTTCATAAAATTTTGGCTTAGATAGTAAAAAAGAAAATTTATCCGTTCAACTTAATATTCATTGCTTTGGGAAAATTGTTTTCAAATTCTTTCTTTTTGGGAAAAGGAGGAGAGGAGAAGAGACTTTATCCATCGAATTTTCATGGTCTTTCAAAGAGATAATTTGCTTAAAATTTTTCATGCCATAGATAGTTCGAATGTTTTATGCGCAGCGGATGATACTTGCAGGAAAGATGAACGCGGTGTCGCCCAGCTGAACACAAACGTCTTTCACATCCATTGCATCGATTTCACGTAAAAACAAGTGAAAACGTTATAGTTAGGCTATGGCAACCATTTCATACTCAACAACACATTGTCTAGCACAAGTCTTATTTTTGCCAGACAACATAAAAATTACACACTGTTTTTATATGAACGTACCGTTGTGGAACTATATATTAAAAATTACACCTATTTGCGAAATGACTCTGAATCGATTGTTTTAATAAAATGGTCGGTCTATCTTAAGCCCGTCCGCGTGTTACATACAACCGCACAATCCTATTATAACACAAGTGATGTAAGGTATCAAAATATTGGACCAAAATCGTTCGGCAACCCAATCCACTCAATGTATGCCATAATTGCATCGCTAGCGCTAAAAGTCGCACAAAATTATTAGCCATCGTGGATGGCCTGACCTGCATCGGGCAGTTTTCTTATTTACGTATCTACACAGGATTCATCACTCAAAATAACTTTCTTTAAACAATCAAAGCCTCACTGACGCATTCTTGGCAGGAGCATACGAGCTTGTACCAAACCAATTCTTCAATATAAGGGTTGATTTCTGAACTTATTAACGCGTAACGGTTTCTAGACCACTAGCTTCTCCGCCCTCCCTTGGCGAAACACTGTGAGCTGGGTTTATTCATTCGCATCGTTTACCGCCACTGTTACAGTTACCGATGAACGCTAGACGAACATGTCGGTTCTTTCATGACGAACACTTATTGATTAATAAGAGGGAAAAGAAAAAATCTTTGCGTAGTCTGTACATTCTTGTTCGTCGTCCAAGCGAGAAATAGAAAATGAGCTTTTTTCACTCCAAATCGATTCTTATCTTATTGGTACAACCAAGCGATAAATATCTCCTTGCAATCTCTCCTTAACATTATTTGATAGGAAGAAACAAGGTATATATAGATCTTGCGACGCGCACTTACCACAGCAATGATTTTGGTAATCATGATTTAAAATGCTCTGTCACGTTATATCTTAACATAAGTCGAATCAGATAATGGATTAGTCAACAATTAGCCCCGCGTAAAAAAGCGTCAATGATTGTCTATTATGTCAACAGTGCATTAAAAAGCTAGTGAGCACTATAAAGCAAAAGCAGCGTTGCAGGAAAAATTGCCTTCAATTAGCAAGAATTGACATTTTCTATTTAATAACGGTTATGCCATCGATGGCTGAAGGCTACTTTGTTACGCCGTCGAAAAATCAATTGTGCTTTTTTACGACAGAGCAGCAAATTACTGAAATAGGATTACATTGGCTTTTACTTTAGAGCAAGAAGTGTAGCATTTCAACATGTTACAGCATATTAAACGCATAACAAATGTGGACATTTTTATTGTATGTGTCGTACGCAGTTATCCTTATGTTATCACACTGCTTGTTATCCCCGCAAAGGCGCACGCATGGCAAGCTATCGATATTAATACGATTTGCATGTAAAATGCATTGAAGATTCTTGTTTTTTATACCCAAAGATATGAAGGCTTAACTCCCAAGCTCGCTACGTTCGTGAAAAGAAAAGCATCGCTTGTTCTTTGCCCCCTTCCTCACTTTCAGTCGTTGTGTCATCCATTCGCACACTATTGTGCGATTTGATACACTTAAGCAGAACTTAAAGCAAAAATTGACATTTATTGCGAATGGGTGGACTGAAAAAATAAGAAACTAGAAACCGGAAAGAATAACTTTATTTTGTGCTCACCAGAAGAGAAGTAATGAAACTCACAACAACATGATAAAGTGACAAAAACTAAGACGTTAAATGAATTTGAAAGAAATCGCATTAAACAGGATGTTACATATGTATGGCTTTGTTTTTCCTTTATTAAGAGATTTTCAAAAATTCTAAAATGTTTCTCTTTCAGTTATATTTGAATCAGGTGACGAAATAACAAAATGTCCTTTAATCGCCTTGAAAAGCTTTTAGCTAAATGTTGCTTTTTTTTTCTTCAAAATTCTTCTTCTTTTTCTTCTAGTCCCCTTAACTATTTTTTATTACCAAAGAGATTTCGTAGATTGAAAAGCTAGTAGTCAAGCAGCCCTATGGCAGCATACATGTACACAATATAATCCAAGCCTTCACCTTTAACGAGCATGAGTTCTTTCCTATCGCTGCAATTAAAATTAAAATTTGATTTCATTTCGGTCGAAGCCTTCAAAATCCTTAAGGTTTACGAAACCTAATCCGACTTGGAAAATGGAAAGGAATGTTCATTTTTTAAATCGTTTTCTGTTTAACTTCTAAGAAAACTAGAAAAGCTTTGAAAAATTAGAAAAAAAATAAAAATAAGAGATACACGCCAAGTACAAGGACAAAAAAAGAAAATGCATTATATAAATAGCTTCCGGAAACAGGTTTTATAGAGCTTGATTTTCATCTCTGTTGACGTCGACCAAGCTAGACATTAATTAACTTAATTTGGCGTTCGGAGTAAACTCAGGCTTAGAGCAATATGAACCTATCAATTGCTTTGAGAAATTTTTGATTCTTCGTTTCTCTTTTTCTCTATCTATCTATCTGCCCATCTAATTCACTCTTACCTCTGTCCTTCCGAATTTTTCACTCTTCTTCTATTTCAACGTCCTATATGAAGCCGCCGAGCAGATGAGCAAAATGGGTTGTTAAACTGCCCTATGTTTAACTTAAATTAATGGTTCATATACTTGTATAACGGCATATGTCTCGCCCATACATTTCGATAACGACAACAGCATTAATAACAAAAACGACAACAACAACTACAATAAACCATTTATTACTGCTTTCATCTATAGTCGTAGGCGCATGTAAAGAAAGACATACACAATGAAGAGTTTTTCAAAAACCACAACACATAGAGCACAACAAGTAGTAATTGTTGGCAGGATGTTAATTGATGGCCATACAAGATTATTCGTAGGTTTTGTAATGTTTTTAGCAAAACAATTTTTTAACACTATTGTGGGTAGTAAGCATGATGCTGGTCGCCGCACATGCATACAATAACATCCATATATGTGAGACGTACGATTTGTGTAAATACCTTGAAACGTTTTGTTAATATGTGACGTCAATTACATTATGAAACACACACACATCATTGTATTCGATATTAAAGGAAACCAAAGCAAAATATTTGCAGTTAGTTTGATGCCATCGTAGCAAAGTGTTTATATTATATGATAGGCAGCGTTCTCTGCCGTAAGACGCGCTCTGCTTCCTCATTCAGAACTTCCATGTATTGTAACTATCATACATCATTTATTTTGGCAACAATTGAATGACGCAGAATTTAAGTAAAAAATTAAATAGATTTTTGCACTTTACGTCATCGAAATTTTCGGCTGAACAAACGCATTGCTCACCACCTAATCTCTGACGCGTTCTTTACATAGTGTTTCCTACAAGTGCCAGCGCGAAAATTATAAATGTTTTTATTTACCGTAGGTTCCACCACATGATACTCTCATATGTTCTTGTATTACGTAACAGATGCATGTACACTGCGTGGTTGTGAGCTTCGGGTCGTAATGATATTAATGAGATTTTCATTAAATTTACAGGATGCAAATTTGTCCGGACGTTGTGTTTGGAGAGCAGTGAAGTTTGCTTCGACGGTAAGTTTTCACATGAAATTCCTCTTTGCTCTTGTTTTGTTTTAATTAAATACCAGGCCTTACCGCATACCACCACAATATATATATACATCCGTATCTTTTTTCTTTTTTCTCATACATAAGTGATTATAATGAAATTCTATTGTAAATGAAAATTTGATGAAAGTGTGTCGGAAATTTTAATGTGTGACACCACCGGCATATGGTTCTCGTGGTGCCTTCATAAACAAATCTTTTCACAGTTTCTATACATTATCTAAATTAAGCCAGTGGGAGGGAGAGTATTTGACTGTAACGCTGCACAAAATGTATACAAAATAAGTTTTGCAACACGCAGTGATATCTAAAAAGCAAATTCAATTCAACTGAAGCAATTATGTAAATTAAATGAGACAAAATGAGAAAAGTAAAAAAGTAAAAGAAATTAATTACTTTATGCACTCAAATACTTACCGTAACATCACTGCTTATAAAACGTCAAAATAATACTAAAACAAGAAACATAAAACAGCTGCGTTACAATGTAAACTCGCTCTACATATTCCACAGCGAAGACTTTCGTTAAGCTTACAACGAATTTATAAAGAACATAAAGAATATAAATGTTTAATTTTTGAAAAAATCATAGGTTTTCCCCTAATATTCTCTTCTCCTTTCTCCTTTTGAAACGCAGATAACATCTTTGGCAAATGTATACCAACCACCGGTGTTGATGTGGAAGACATTGAAAAGTAACTTAACCGTCGTCACTACTTTTAAGATTGTCTCTTATCAAATAAATTCCATTTTCCTTTCACTTGTAGAACTCCTCTTAATGAAGACCAATCGCGTTTACTCGCCACCATGCTTGAAGAATTGCAGGGCGCCGGTTTAGGTTGGGATCATCCTTACGTTCAATGTCGCATACAAGGCACGCTCTTCTCACTTCAGAAACAAACTCATCTTCCTCCAAATCTATGCGCAAATCTAGCTCCATCCTCGTCTAATCCGGAGACAGCTAGTCCTATGGCTTACATACGTTTCGCACCTTCAAATGACGGCTACACTGATAGGTTCTACTATCCTCCATTGAAAAAAAAGAATGATCTGTCCAATGGGATTAATAGTGTTTTGCACAAGTTCCGATTGCAAAACCAGCATTCGCTTCCCGAATCAAACGACATAAACCACTTCGTAGAATTCGACAGGCAGAGAGAGTCCCAAATGAATCAACCGAGCGTTATGGATATATTCCTGCAGAAGGAACAAGAACTCCAGCATCAAGAAGAGTTGCAAAATGACTTGGCCTGGGAAAATCGACGCAAAGAAGCCTTGCGAAATCGTTTAAAATTGTATCATATGTTAGCCGCCACTGAGCCGGATCCTCAACCATTCTTACGTAATCGTCAGATTGCTGTAGAAAAACCGGACGATTTTGATGAGCTGTACTTAATGAATCATTTTGATGCATCCAAACGATCAAGAATTCAAAACGTCGCAAACCAGCGGAATTCTCCGCCAAATTCGTTTTTTCGTGAACTAGCTCAGGAACAAGGTATAGGACACATGCCATCTCACCACATTCAAGCGCAATTTCAGCCACCTGCAGACGCCTTACAATCATTGAACTATAAGCCAATCTCAGTTAAAGCAAAGGAAGACTTAAATAATGGCCGTAACGATTTTGATTTGGAGGATAGTTTATTACGGAATTCCCTAACGCCCATCGAAGAAGAGGCTATGTTAGCTTCAAACGCCTATCCCATGCATCTAAAGCACCGCTACATTAACCCAGAAAGTGTCTATTCCGAGGCTGGTCTTATTAGGATACCAGAAGATGAAAATCTTGATCGGGATTTGGTGGCCGACACTCGAAAAGAAAAAGCTCGAGATATTTTAGCTGACATGCTGGGTTTTACTCGGCATGAACGTTTAGATGTTAAGAAACCAGGACCACTGGTAGGCCCGCCACCTTCTGATAAGGAAGATCTCGAAAAACCGCTTCGCAATCGCACAAGTATCAATCAAGAAAATATGCCAACCCATGTAAAAATTGAAGCAAATGAAGCGAACAAAAAGAAAAAGCTCATTCAGAAACATTCCGAAGAGGACCATGCACCCCATATCGTCGACACTGAATACGCTCATGTGTTTGTTAAAAATCCGTAGGTTTTCATACTTTATTTTTATAGTATTCGAAATTAATGTTAATGAAGGTCCCATTCAATAGAATCGATAGCTGGAGTGATGGCGTGCGCATTATAAACGAGTTAGCTCACATTCTACATATGCAAGGATATTTTACTTATTTAACGTAAGTATTTTCGAAAATTTTCAAAATCGCAAGTTCCAGATATAAAAGGTGTGGATATGTTCTTCAAATTATGGTTTCAGATCAACTCTCATAATCTTGAAAGTCCTTTTAATTTATATTCTTACTTAAATAATTTAAGCGTTCAACCACATGAAGTTTCGTTCCGAGTAAACTCGAATAATCCTGAGAGGAAAAACGCTACCGATGTAGCTCGGGCTATTAATGAAAACCGTGGCGTCAAAAACAATCTACTACGACGCTTGGGTGTCACAGTTTTGAAGGCCGGCGTCGGCGACAAAGTCAAACGGGACGATGAAAGCGGAGTGTCGGCAGCGCGTATTGAACTCACCGATCAAGATCCAGATGTTACCCATGTCATGGCATACATGTTCGCTGGCGCCGGGGCAGCCGCTATTATTGTCATATTTGTTACTTTGACATTAATTAAGCGACATGACAGAAAACGCGATAAATTAGGTGGGCTGCAAACGGGCACCACTGGTGCAGAGAGTTGCAGCAAAGACTATCAAGATTTATGTCGTGCCCGCATGGCCGGCAAAGGTAATCCAACTGACGCGGTGGCCGGTGGTCGCGTAACATCGTTAAGCAAGGAAAACGATAGACCGCCATCATCCCGTTCCAGTACATCTTCCTGGAGCGAGGAACCAACTTTGACAAATATGGATATATCTACCGGTCATATGGTGTTGGTACGTATATGCATTAGCAAAAACCATTCTTTCAAATTCTTTCATGTACTTCACTTCACTCTTCAGTCCTACATGGAAGATCATTTGCGAAACAAGGGCCGCTTACAGCGTGAATGGGAAGCTCTTTGCCGTTACGAAGCCGAACCTAGCGCTCGCGATGCTGCTGTGCAGCCGCAGTGTTCAAGTCTTAATCGCGTAACAGCACCGCTACCGTACGACCATTCACGTGTTGTTCTCAATCATTTAGCTAATGCTGAGGGTCTAGACTATATCAATGCCTCAACAATTGTAATTTATTAATTAGCATTGCGAAATTTTGAAAATGAAATACGTTCTACTCTATTCTAGACTGACCATGATCCCCGCACTCCGGCCTATGTAGCCGCTCAGGGACCGTTGCCAACCACTTTAGCCCATTTCTGGCAAATGATTTGGGAACAAGGAGCTGTTGTTATTGTAGCTCTATGTCGTTTGCAAGAAAATGGGGAAATTGCATGCGCTCGCTATTGGCCCGAAGAAGGGGCGGAAGTTTATCACATCTATGAGGTCTGCGGATAATGTAGTAAATTCTTTTTCTAATTTATTGATGTTGTTTATTCTTAGGTTCATTTAGTTAGCGAACACATTTGGTGTGATGACTACCTGGTACGGTCCTTCTATTTGAAGAATTTACGAACAAGCGAGACCCGAACCGTTACGCAATTTCATTTCTTGTCTTGGCCTCAAGGGGGTATACCAGCACAAGCGAAGGCGCTCTTAGATTTTAGAAGGTCTTTTAAACAATTTCTCAAAATTTCTTGTAAAGATGATAAAAAGCTTGTTTTCAATGCAGAAAAGTAAATAAATCGTACCGTGGCCGTTCCTGCCCCATTGTAGTGCATAGCAGTGCTGGATCTGGCCGCACTGGCGCATACATACTACTCGATCTGGTGCTAGGCCGCATGAATAAAGGAGCTCGGGAAATTGACATCGCAGCTACGCTGGAGCACTTGAGAGACCAAAGAGCCGACTTAGTTGCTACGCGACAACAATTCGAGTTTGTTCTAATGGCCGTAGCAGAGGAAGTGCATGCAATTCTTAAAGCCTTACCCGCAAATCAAAGCACCGAGAAAAAGGATTTAGAGCAGAACAGAGAACAGGGTGTCTTGAGGGAAGAAGAGGTAGAAAAGACAAACTGCACAGACTCGACAGCGGATAAGAACAACGCTAGGCTTAATAAAGATGGAAAGACAACTCCAGTTAAAACGCAATTAGAAACAAAGAAAAAGTGAATAAAATCGAGGGAGGCAAAGTATATTTTTTGTATTTAGAGCATCTTTTTTTTCCATATTCTTTACTGGGAAAGTAAAATTGATAGTTACGAAAAGGCTTACCTGGTACGATAGAGTTGGATTTTACTTGCTACATTTCCTCTATTATTATTTTCATTTTTATGTTAAATTCTAACCCTTCGAAATCTGTTGGATATTTTCTAATATGTTCCGGCTTTAAAACCAGCCCGCGTTAAAACCAGTCGTCTTAGAATTTCAACAGATTGCGAGGATTCATTCAACAAAAAAATTCAATATGTAGATTGTAAGAAATATATACTTGTACGTACATGTAAAGCACATATACATATATATATGTATAGAAAAAAATTAAAGAATTAATCACATTTAATAGGTTTTCGAAATGAGACAAAATAAAAGCGAAAATTGTTTTGAAAAATCGTTAAAGTTTAAATGTAAAAAATAAAATCGAAAAATTAAAAACGAAAAAAAAATTAAACACAAATGTACGTGTAAACATTCTCAAATTATGAATATTCACTTAAATGTGTTTTGACAAGGATTCCTCGTACATAAGGAAATTATGCGAAAATATTTAGATAAAAAATATTTATATGTGTATGAAATTATAATAGAATTATGCAAAAAATATTTCCATTTTAATGTTATAAAAAAGAAAAAGAAGCACTTCAAAGAAATATATATATATTAGGGTCAACCACAATACAAAATGATTTGTCAAGTTTTCCACATACAAAATTTTACTTAACTCTGATTAAAGATGATGGCAGCTAAAAATTCAAAAAAGCCTGACAAATTTCTCAGTTAGAGTAGAAGAAAAGAAGAAGAGTAAAAAGAAGAGAAGAGGAGAAGATAAAGAAAAAAGGAGAAAATAATCATTGCAAAGTGCACAAAAACAAGTAAAACCAATAAAATAATACAACAAATCCAAAATCATTCCAAGATTTAGTAATTTAAACACGAGAACGAGATCAGGATCAATCATCATAACATCATATCGCATAATCAGACCAAAAAACAATTGCAACAACAACAATTATATAAGAAAATACGAAAAAAACAAAAGAAAAGTAATTAAATGCAACAATAATAAAAATTAAAAAATATTAATTTAAAAAAAAAAACAAAAAACGTTAACAACAATATGACAACATGAAGTTTTTAGCAACAACAAGTAGAAAAAGAAACACTTTTTTCTATCATACAAATATTTATTTAAATTTTTTGTTTTTTCTTTTCATTGTTTTCTCTCTATTTTTAATGTTATAAAAAACATATATATATTAAAGCATAAAAATTTAATAATATTTAAAGTTAATTAAATTTTAATAAACAAATATAAAATTATATATATACATATATATATATACATTTCATTAAATCTAAGTGTGAAAAAAGCAACAACAACAACAATTTAAACAATATTACAATAACTGTGAGGGAAGAGGGCCAAAGACAACAACAGCTACTCGTGTGGCACTCTCCAAAGTCCCTGTTAAACAACAACACAAATGAGCAAAACAAAATCGTGGTAGAATTTAAATTTAAAAAAAAATATATATATATATATTATATATATTAATACATATATATACATATACACATTTAAAGTATTAAGAAAACAAAACTCCCCAAATGAAAGACAAAACCAAAAAAAAAAAAAAAACCGAAAAATTAGTTAAAATGTATTTAATTATTACACATATGACAAATTGTACTAAAAACAAAGAAAATGAACAAATTAAAACATGTTTAAATTAACTTAAAAATTTTGAAAAAATAGTCTTTGCTTAGCAAAAGAAAAAAAATCAAGTAAAAATTTATTAAATAATTATTTCAAATAATGCACACCAGTAGATGCAAGAAATTATAAATAAAAATGTATTAAAATTTGCAAAATGGAGAAAAAAAAAATATAAATAAATAATTACGTAAAATATTTTACGTTACCTTTACGCTTTACGCTGCATAGAAAAGCCTAACGTTTCACTTTCTCACATAAATCTCTCGCATGAGATTTACTTTTACTTACTACATTAAGAAGAGAGAAAATGTTGAAAGTTTTCGGGCAGCAAATTAATTAGTTTGCATTCCATGTGGAAACATTTTTTTTTATCTAAATTTATAGTTTTACATATTCGCTCCTCTCTCCTTTCCAAACATTCCTTCCTGTCTTTGATCAATTAAATCCCAAAGAGACATCGAAAACTCACTTAAAGCTGAGAAATTGTTAAGAAAAAAAAATAAAAAAAAATGTTAATTTTCAAAAGATTTCAAAAATAGTTTACTTAGTAAACTAATAAATATATTGACTTTTTTTATCAGAATTTCGGTAAAATGTTGATAATATTTCAAATGCAGAATATGTGCGGATGTGCACTTTTCCTGCCCATATATGTAATGATGTTCAGTTAATATGTCATCACATTCAAGACACAAAAAAGCCTTAGAATGACTTTCTTTGGCCTCCTGTTTGCCTGTTTCCAGCCAAAAGGTATCGCAATAAATATTGTTTTACTTATTCGCATACTATTCGCCAATTAAAATCGCTTTTATGACAATTAAGTAAACATAATAATGTAATTTATAGCATTATTGGGTGCTTAAGTGGCAGCAGAGTCCAGACCTCTGTTCAAAAAAAATTAAGCTAATCGGTTGTCTCGCTGCCATTCCCTTAAACGCCTTTACCTAAGCCACAGCTATTAATTGAAATTACACGATAATTTAATTCTTATTTAATTAATTTTTTAAATCTTAACGAACGAGCACATTTTTCTAGAACAATGACCAGCAGGGAGATGAAAAAGGGCCATAATGTCACGTCGTATTCAATAATAGTAGCTATTAAAGGAACAGATAGGTCTGTGCGAAAAGAAACAATGCCCGATCGGCTGCAGTTTTAACGCAAGCAAATGGCCGCCTAATCTAACAGATTTTTTGATGTATCACGTCATGCCGCTTGCATGAAGATAATCTATTTTTTTGGGATATTTATTATGTCGTCAATATAACGAGATTCGTTCAGTAAGAGTTTAATTAAAAATTTGTTAATAACTTAATAACTTAACTACATTTTAATTAAAAAAATTGTTCTGAAAATCATTATCCAGGAATATTCTATTTTCACAACAACTGTACAATGAGACTAGAACGTCAAATTAAACGAAATCCAATGGCTGTCGTTTGTTCGGAATATGTGAGAAAGTATATATTAATTCAATGACATTGTCAAATGTATCGTCTAAATATGCCGAATACACGGAGAACGTGCGTGGTAGAGAGCCTATTTGTGGAGATTACAAGGGGAGAGATCGTAAGTGTTAACATCATGAGTGCTTCCGTAATATGCTTCCTGCTATTAAGTTAAGCGAATCTTTAATATCTCTAAAATAATCGATCAAATGTTATTTAAAGTTCTCTAATGACTTCTTATTGCCCATTGGTCCTTCAGTGGATTTTTCAAATTCGCAATTCAGCAGCAAAGGGTCGTATGTTAAGCATTCAAAGGTGGAGGAAAATTCCTATTTCTCTTTCTCTCCGTTCCTCCCTCTCTTTCTATTTTAGCAATTAATGAATTAAAAATGAGATCTTTGCCATAAGACAAATAATGTTTTAGAAATGTTCTCATTCTCTCTCTCTCTCTCTCTCGCTGTATGGCTTAGTGAACTAAAAATTAAATCTTTCCTATTAAGACTATACGATAAACAGAATTTAGTTCGCAAACACTCTTTACAGTTTTAATTATGTAAATTTCAAAGATATCTTAAACGCACAAATGAATTTCTTCCTTTCTTTTTTTCCCCTCTCTTTCCATTCCATCTCACCCAATCTCTCTGTCTGCTTTAATAATATATTAGGTAAGAATTAAATGTTTCCCCATCTCTACTAGAGACAAATGCGTTGTAATCATAGTTGAAATATATTTATTTACGTATGTGTTTATGTGTTAATGGCAAGCAATTATCAGATATGATTCCATTTATAAAGGCATGCATGCAATTTGTGCAACTGTAATTTAATTAATTAAAAATTAATTTTGTTAATATTTATATCTAATTGACTATGAAATTCTGTTTATGTGAGCACATGAACGTTTAGTTTCCACGCCTACATGTACATACATTATGAAATGTATTTAGTAGAATTTTCCATTTCAATTAATACATACATAGATTACTAAAAGTTGTGAATATCTAAGCAGCCCTTTCGATGGCTCAGATTTGATCTGAAATATGTTTGTAAATCCTTAAAGAAAAAAACATTAAAAACTTGCAAACATTTCACGGTCACATTGTTCTCGTAGCAATTCTGGGCTTACATTTAAATCACATGATCAATGGAATTCTCGCGTTCAGCGAACCGTTTTTCGATATCAGTACATGGATCTTTAAGAGATATAAGTGATTTTGCCAATCAAGGCGTGTACAGTTTCTGATGCCTACTCGATGCATATTGCAAATGTTTATCCGCCGATGGTTATAGTCAATTAAATATAGAAATGCAATAATGAACGTGTGTACGTGTTCGATTAATGGCAAAGTCATGATGTTAGTATATTTGAATTTATTCGCAATATTTGGATAACAACTAATAAATTATTATACTTAACAAAAATATATATACATACATTGATGTCTATTGGGAAGAGAACATATAAACTTATATATTGCTTTCAATTATTTAAGAAAAGAAAAAAATTATCTAAAAGCAAAATTAAAATTAACTGAATTGAGAGTAAAACATAGAAATAAACAAAAGCATGAAATGCGTATTACAAACCGAGGAAAAAGTTAAAAAATCACAAAAATGAGAAAATCATGTAAAAGAAGTTTTCTTCACGTAATTAAAATATCAAACATTCAAAACAATTAATATTCATACATAAAAAGAAGAAAAATTTATTGAAAGTTACATTAATACATATATAATACGCATTTAAGTAATTCGATATGAAATCAGCACACGATGAGGTTTATTATTATTATTATTATTATTATATATATATATATATATATATATATATATATATATGCATGTACATACATGTATGCATTAATATTAATTATTATATTAGTATGCCTTCCTATAAATATATAGCAAAGAATAGAAAAATGGAAAATTTGAAGGCAAAGGTAAAGACAAAGGCAAAGGTAAGTAAGCAAAATTGAAATAAATTAACATAAATAAATTATATGAAATTCTCGTCTATATATAAATGTTATTTTGTATTAAAATCGAACCAGGAATTCTCTGAAAACATTTTTGAATGGAAAACTTCCCACAAATTAATGAACCTAAGAACATTAAATAAAATATTCGTCATTCTATACAATATTTGAAAAAAAAAAAAAAGCAAAAACAAAAAAGAGAAAAATTTGAAAATCGAAATGCAAATAATTCCATTACTGTTGTGTATTATTGATGTCATTCCAGCTATCATGAGTACGATGATAAAAGTTAAGCGGAATATTCGTACCTTTAAATCAATAAATAAATAAATAAATGTTAATTATAAGCAAAAAAATATACATCTATATATATATATATCTACATAGATAATAAAGTATCCACCACCTAAATTTCTTTTTGCAAATTATCATAAAACAAGAACCCAATGCAAATACTTGAGAGACACTACTTACTCGATAGTTTTGTCAAAATATTTTATGAATTTTATTGTAACAGAACATAATATTTACCATCAATCATAAGCATAAGTTGATTGTAATACAATTCAAAGTCAAAAAGAACTATTTATGTATATGTATATAATATAGAGACAACATTACTGATGCAAAACGAAATGAAAGAAAAAAGAATGAAAACCAAACAACAAATAAATAGAAGGAAACTATTTATTATAGTTTTATTGCCACCGATTGTAATATAATATCAATCGCTGAGTCTTTCCCATTCTAAGGTCTCGCATTTTCATTACACCCTTTGACAATATGCATTCAATAACCTTCATTAAGCGTTCTTTTTCAAAATATGTGACCAACTTTCCTCTAACCGGGACTGACAGCGGATGCGTTATCGGTCAAGGTGTAA